GTGGGTGTGAAGGATTTTCCGATTAGAGTAAGACATCGTATTCCCACATTTAGTGCATGGACAACACATAAAACCATTCTGCTTGTTTGCCTCAGCCGCTTCGAGAAACTCATGCACGCCCTTAATGTACTCGGAGGTGTGTCTGTCACCGTACATCCATTGCCGGTTCATCTGCGTGCATTATATATAATTAAGTGTGTCAAAAACCATTATAGAGCATCATGAATAGATAATTAAGTGACCAAATTAATAGAAGCTCATCATCACATTAAAACCAAAATACGTACATAGTTCTCATCTAACAACATATAGCTCTCCAGAGCATCTAATTAATTAAACCATACATTGAAACTATGTAAAACAATTCAATGCGAAAACAAATGCGATCATAATCGCAACCAAGATAACAATTGATCCAAAGGCATAATGATACCAAGACTTGGTGTAAATGGCATATTTTCTAATCTTTCTAATCTTCAAGCGCATTGCATCCATCTTGATCTTGTGATCATCGACGACATCCGCAACATGCAACTCCAATATCATCTTCTCCTCCTCAATTTTTTTATTTTTTCCTTCAAGAAATTGTTTTCTTCTTCAACTAAATTTAACGTCTCGACGATAGGGCCGGTTGGAATTTCCGGTTCACATACCTCCTAGATAAATAAAATCTATGTCACGTTGGTTGGCATAATTTTCATAAACAATAAATGAACCAATAGTTATAAAGATAATATATACCGCATCCGAATCATAGACAGGACGAGGGCCGACGGGGGCGGATACCAAAACCATCGCACTATATAAGATGCAATAATAAAAGTAAGAAAATAATACAAGTATCTATCTAAACATACAAGTAAGAATATTTTTCCTTTCAGAAAGAAGATAAGAACAAGAGGCTCACCGCAGTGGTGCCGGCGATGAGATCGGCACGTGTGATCGACGGTGGTGAAGACGGGGACGGGGCATGATGGACCGCTAAACCTAGACAAATATTGAGGAAAATGGAGCTTCGAGGTCGAGCTTGGTGAGGAGAAAGCTTAAGTAGTGTGGCTCGGGCATTCCATCGAACACCTTGCGTGCATAGGAGGTGAGCTAGAGCACCACCAAGCCCTCTCCCCTCGGCGACCAGAAAAAATAGAGCAGTGTGCTCTGCTCTTATGCGAGGGGGTATATATAGGCACCTCATTGGTCCCGGTTGGTGGCATGAACCGGGACTAAAGGGCAGCCTTTGGTCCTGGTTCAACCCACCAACCGGGACCAATGGTGGTGGGCCAGGAGCGAGGCCCATTGGTCCCAGTTCGTCCCACCAACTGGGACCAAAAGGTCCAGACAAACCGGGACCAATGACCCACGTGGCCCGGCCGGCCCCCTGGGCTCACGAACCGGGTCCAATGCCCCCATGGGTCCTGGTTATGGACTGAACCGGGACTAATGGGCTGACCCGGCCTGAACCTTTGCCCCCTTTTCTACTAGTGCAAGTACTCCAAGCCACGCATGCTCAGTCTAGAGGTTATTTCGAGATAAGGTGCTAGAGTCCAACTCGGACTTAAGACTTAACAATTCTGACTCCTCTTTGTGGGCTTCTTAATATCTTGGACTTCATAACGTCTCGGGCTTCATAACCCCTAGCAACCCAGTTATCATTGTTTGCCGGTTTACGATGGTTTGCCGGTTTAAGATGGTCTGCCGGTTTAAGATGGTCTGCCGGTTTATGATGGTCTACCGGTTTAGGACTTCCTGCTGAGTTATCATCTGACTTAACTCCTGCCGGTTTACCACCCGCCGGTTTACCGTCCGTCTTAGCCATCTGTCTTAACTGTCTGCCGGTTTACCATCCACCGGTTTACCAAGTCCCGGCCGGGTTACGACTCCGACCGGGTCATACCGCGGGGTATATCCCCGACAGAAGGCAAGGTAATATGGCCTCTTTGTTAGATCAATAATAATGCATATGAAAGCCACTCAACATTTTCATCGTGGTCTTTCCCTCTCGACCCCCAAAGAAAGGAAAAGAATTTCAAAGAAACACACAAAATGTTTTTGGAGTTTTTTTTTCTGAAGAAAGTATAACAAGAACGAGAAATCTTTTTGGGTTTTCTTTTAATATTACAACTAAACATGCATAGAAGGTAAACTAACTGCAACTAATTTTCCTTTTGTTTTTCTTAAGGTTTTTCAAACACACAAGAAGAAAGCGGGAAAAAAAATTAAACTAGCATGGATAATACAATGATAGAGTATGAACACCGAGAACTGAAATGAGTGTGTGAACATGAATGTAATGTCAGTGAGAAATACGTACTCCCCTATTATTTCGAGAAGAGGTGCTAGAAAAGAAGGTGTACCTTGTTGATATGAGTACCATGGCATTCCTATTAAACCAGTATGTCAGATAAGGCAAAGAACCTATATGCTCACTATCATAGTGAAATAACACTTTCAAAAGAAAGTGTTCAAATTTTGAGAACCGCTACCTGTTTAAATATCTGGGGGATCTAATTATCATGAAAACATACTTCTTTCAACAATCAAATGTATGTCTTACTAACAACTTTTGCAGTAGTGGTAACCTTCACCAATTTAGTGACATAATAAAAAACAATCATGTGCATTACCTCAAGAACTTACAGTATATTTATTATGCTTTTGAGAAGCACCATACACTTCATGGTAAATATTGTGTGATTTGACAAGACCAAGATTTCCCCTCCTGTAAAACCATGCCGCATATTAACATTACATGGTTTCCCCAAGATGACCGCAAAACATTACCAAGTTCGCCCTGCCAACAAGTGACAGCATGCCAGTTGTGCCAGCAAGACCACAAACATGTGAGCCGGCCTCGCCGAGAGGCTGTCAATACATGTGAGGCGTTGAGAGAAGGAAGATGTGTTACGCAAGGGCGGGACTAGTGGGGGTGAGAGAGAAAAATTTGTTGGAGATGTGAGTATGGTGGGTTTTTTTAGACAAAGAGTATGGTGGTTATTGATACATGATATTTACTAGGCCTAGTGGGCCAGTTGGTTCCTATCTCGCATGATAAAAATTAATAACGTGTTGAATTAAAACTTAGATGATGGCAGGCCGAAGGGAGCAACTAGCTGGTGGGCACCCTGTTCTAAAAGAAGAAGAAGAAAGATGGTGGGCAGCCTCTTCTAAAAAACGAAGAAAAAAGATGGTGGGCGAGTGAGTGTTCCAGCCGGCAATCTCCAGCCTTCAGGAGCGCTCCAGCACCGCCACGCGTCATGCAGTTTGCAATTTACTCCACTTGTTTCGTCGTCGTCGGTGCACCCTGCGACGTCGTGCATGGCAGATTCTATAGTGATGGCGTCAACAGTGATGACTCGGGCCGGCCCAACGTATGCATGCATGTGTCGTACTAGTACGTCACCTAATATAGTTTGCTAGGCGTTCATTCACAAGTGCATGTGCATGCATGATACTACTACTACTACACTGGAGGTTCGGTTAAGTACGGATTATATCAAAGTTGAGTTAGTATAAGACACACGGCAGAGCATAGCGTGTCGATTCATTCAACAATCGATCTGAGGAATCCGCTGAAATTAATGATGAGTTCCACTAGTACCTCGATCGATGTGTATAGACAAGTTGTCTCCCATTAAGTGGTCCTCCATCCAACGTAAGCTGTCTACTAACGTTGTGTCGCATGTCAGGCTAAGTAGATTCCTCCAACGACGTGGTACATCTCAAGTATAGTATCCACCTGTTACTCCTCTTCAGGTCAACTTTAGCAACATGCATTGGTAGCTGCAAGTTACATATTGCATCACACACACGCGCGCGCGCGCGCATATATATATATATAGAGAGAGAGAGAGAGAAAGAGAGAGAGAGAGAGAGAATCGTTAAGTTCCTAGTAAGTTCTGCTGGAAGGGAGCCTATTTTGTAACAAACGCTCATTTCTAAATATATTCAGGTGCGGCCGGCCCACCGTCAGTGAGCGAGAGGCTTGTCACTCAATCCAGGTTGTTAGGATTAATCTTGACCTGTGTTGTACACCTCCAAGTGTGCCGTGATAGGTGTGTTGCATGCCATGTTAGTACAGTAGTGATAGATGCATTTGGCTGGGTCGTGTGGCATGGCCGTTGAGAAGAGGCTGCATGCAAGTGTTTGTTAGCTAGATATGGGTGAGTTTGTTAGCTGCATGAGTTGATGGCCTAGTCTTTGGGACGTAGGAGAGAATCTAGGAAACAGATTAGATGCATGCAAGTAGTTGACTAGTATTGTGCGTGTGTTAGTGGGGCTAGTGGCCGAGCATGGTGGCCGGGCTATGCGTGTGTAGGTACTACTTAAGCATTGTAATCAGCTTGGTTATGTTAATGAGAAGAAGAGGAAAATGTAGCCCATGTGTGCTCACCGGGAGCAAGAGGCAAAGCCACTTTTCTCCACGGTGAGGTGTGTGTGTGTGTGTGTGTTCCTTCCATGGTGTGTGTTCATCAGAGTGTTTTGAGAGAAACTAAGAGAGAAGAGACAGTTGTGTGAGAGGAGGAGGAAGAAGAAGCGGCGCTGCGTGGAGAGGCGGCGCCAACACAGGTTTGCATGTTAGTGCCACAACTTGAAGATGCTCTGGATCTTAAATTATCAGATCTGGCATTGGCTGGTACTTAGCTAGATTCACTTACCCCCAAATTAACTCATCAAAACTTCATTAAGCTCAAGGCGTTGACACACTTTAATTAGTTAGTCCTTTGGGCCAACAAGTAGAGAGTTAATTAATACTAGTATATACTGCATACGTACGACAACACTTGCGTTCCTAGGATGTTAGCATATACACACAGAAAGAAACTACCATGGCCGGATGGCTATAAATAAGCAAGGCGTGGTGCTCTGTCCTATAGACACCACTTCCACTTCAGCTCGTCTCTTGTCTTGCTCTCTGCCATATACTCCTGCTAGCTAGCTACGCTGCCCCTTGCAACTAACTAATGGCGCCTTCACCAATTAGCAGTGCAGCTGTGTTGGCCGGGATGGTGGTCCTCGTGCTGCTGGGGTTGGGCTACCCAGCGGAGGCGACGACGTCATGCAAGGATTGTTCGGCGCAGTGCAACTCAACATGCAGCGCTGCCAATTTCGCCGGGGCGGGGACGTGCCGCACGGACTGCAGCCCGGCGCCGGCTTGCTTGGGCTGCCTTGGCAGCCTCCCCATCTACCAAGCCAAGTGCATTGTGGGATGCTCAAGTGCGTGCAAAGTCCAAAGAGGTGCTTCATATGACTGTGAAAGCTTTTGCAAAGACTACTGCAGCGACCGAAGCGGCTTGTGCAGCAGCGTCTGCGCTGAGTCGCCGGCGTGTAGGGCATGCAAGGAAAACTATTCTGGTGGGTGCAAATCCTGCTGCACCTCTTACTGCAAATGCCACTGCGTCTAACTACGACTTTCGCCACTCTACATCGTTGGCACGTGACTAAGGATTCTGCTACTCACTCGGCGCCGCACTGAGCCTTAGATGCCAGTGTTATAATTTTCATCAAATAATCATAGGTGTGTGTGTGTGCGCGCGCACCGCCCTTTCTACTTTCCCGTCTTTAGCGTCGATCAGTTTCTGCACCGTGTTTGTAATTTCTTATTTGGATTACCGAAAGAAAAATATCAGTTTCTATTTGCTTATTTATTTGTGGTGTATTTGAATTCTACTGCTTCAATATGCAATCGATAGAATTGATAGAATTCTACTGCTTCAGTTTTTGGATATCATCTTTATCTACCTACCTAGTATGTCATGACTAAATCTTAGTCTTACATACCCTTTTAGTTTTATCCACGTCGTGGCTTGGTCAAAATCAAACCAGGCCGGCCAAAAATGAACTAAGGTAGAAGAATGTGCTCCCTAATTGATTTTAACCACTAATAGAACAATAGTACAACCGAATCATGACAATTACTGCTGAAACCGAATAAAATTAACGCCTAACATGATCAACCAGCGCTAAAAAAAATTAGGTTCAACATAGTTCCTGGCTACCACTACAGGTCGCTGAACACCGCAGTATGTCCAGAGACTACTGATGTATCCTTCCCTTGTCGCTTGATAAGGAGATAAGTTATGAGACTTGGTGGTGCTGATGCGTGCATTTTGCATCATTTTATTCATACAAATAAAAAAGGTTAGGGGTATTTTTTTTAAATATGATTAAAATTTCTGAAATATACGACACACAAATTTTTTAAACATGGTGAATATTTTCGTAAAACATAATTTTTGAAAAATATTTTAACATTTCCTAAAAGCACAATTAAACTTTTTCCAAAACATGTAGAACATTTTATTTGTACATAATGAACATTCATTTCAAATACATGATGAAAACTTTTTATAATACGTGATTGGATTATTATTTTTAAATATAGGATGAAGATATTCTAAATACACGACATTTTTTTGTAAAAAATATTATGATTTTTTAATAGTAAACGAAGATCATTTTTAAATTCATGGTAACGGTTTTTAAACACGATGAACATTTTTGAATCTACACGTTGATCATTGTCTAAATGCAGGATGAATATTGTTCAAGACACACGATAAACCTTTTTTCAAAACAAGATGGGTATTTTGGTTTATACATGATTAACTTTAAAAAAAATTACAAGATGGGCATTCTCTAAATACATGATAAACTTTTTTTGAACATGATGACCATTTTGAAAACAAGGCAATATTTTCATGAAAAAACTATCCTCATTTAATAAAACATGATGAACAAAATAACAGCTTGAAGAAATGGAAAAATATAAAAGCAAAAAGGAAAAGTAAAATAAAACATATTATGTATTTAAAATGAATAAAACAAGAATGAAAAAATTAAAAAAGTGAACATATGCACATAATAAAAAATGCTCAACACATTGTGCAAAAAAAATCTATGTTAGAAGATGTCCATATGATGAAAATGAAAATTGGAAAAAACATGAAAAAGGACATGAAAAACAAGTAGAAATAGGAAAGAAAATAGAAACATTTAACAATTACCCTTGTTGATTACTTACTGTGAAGCATGGTAGTGTTTGGAGTGAGATTAGCCTGCCCAAGTTAGGTATTGGCCAGCAGAACATGTGTCTGAGTGTCTCAAGTTGCTATGGTCAGCAAAGGGGAATTTCAACACTTGGCCCTCGTAAAGATCTAGTAACTGGATATGATGAAGTTTAGTTAGTGCACTTGGTAAAATTACAGTGCAGTAGCTTATTGTCCTCGAAGAAGTATAGCGTAGGTGCTTTAACTGAGCAATAGATTTTGGGACCCAGAACAACTTATTGTGTCCGCTGATTTCAAAACATTTCTTGCTGAAGGCAACGGCTAGCACCCACAATTTCGGCAGCCTCATGCATATGCTCTCAATGACTTTTTCCTCAACTAGTGCATTGTCATGCCCAATATACGGGACTATGCTAATGGGTCTCGACGATCCCACTCAGCATAGAAGCATATATTGGAGTCATACACAAGGCGGTTCTCATACACGCATACAATATAAATAAGGACATACTCCAGAATACTTGTATTTGGGAGGGCCCTTTGCAATGCCATGCTTAACTTTCTTCAACATGGCATCCAAAAGTTGAGCTTCACGAATTTGATCCTCCAATGTGGTAGTGATCTGGAGATTTGCAAGAAATCCTTGTGGAACAATTTGAAGGTTTAGCTTCATGAATGACTCGCACAAGTCAGGCTGCACCGGAGGAAGAATAAGGCTGTTGCAATACGCCTTTCTGCTCAAAGCATCCGCAACCACATTCGCCTTGCCTGGAGTGTCTTTGATGCTCGGGTTGTACTCTTGGATCATTTCAACCGAACGAGTTTTCCTGAGGTTGAGATGAGGCTGTGGAGAAATACTTGAGGCTATTATGATCGGTGAAAAATGTGTACCTGTCTTCCCAACAAGAGATGTCGCCATGTGATCAATGCACGAACGACGGCTGCCAATAACAAGTCACGTGTAGGATAGTTCTTCTCGTTCAGCTTCAACTGCCGAGAGGTGTAGGCCACAACTTTCTTCTCTTGCATCAAGACACCACCGAGACCTTGCAAGGAAGCATCACAAAAGACTTGGTACGACTTTGACTCATCGGGAGGAGTAAGAACTTGAGAAGACACTAGCTTCTGCTTGAGCATAGTAAACATTTCATCACACTCAGGAGTCCAGACATATTTGATGTTGGGTAACGCAGCAGAAAACAAAAAATTTCCGACCTACGCACCAGCCCAGGACCACTATGGAGACTGCATACAAGATTTGATCTGTTTCGTTACCGACTCGTAGCGCAGCGGGAAGTAGAGTCGATGACGATCGGCGGTGCAGATCCCCGCAGCTAGGATTTACAACCTCCCAACCGCGAGGATGTATACCCTCATCTGCTCCTCAGACAGCCCTCTGTGAGGCGGTCGAACAGTCCCCCAGACGGTGTTGTGGACAGCCCTTCGGGAGGACCTTCGAAACTCGGACGGTCACTCGGACAGCCCTTCGAGAGGACTCACAGAACTCGGACCGTCACTTGGACAGCCCTTCGGGAGGCATTCTCGAACAGCCCCTCGGGCACTAAGATCAAAACTATGACCTCTCTACAGAGTTGCACACATACGGTGTCATCTATCCGGCAGGGCTTCGCCATCCAGAACTAGTTCCTGCCGGAACCCAGACAGCCTTTCGGCTCTACGAAACTGTTTCGCTGGGAGGGAGAGAGAAGCCAGATCATGCATGGCACTTGTATGTGAGAAAGAGTGAGTGTGGAGGGCTGCCCCTCCACCTCTATTTATAGGAAATCCCAAGGGGTAGGGTAGTTTCACACAAAAACCCAAAATGCACATGAATGAAGTCCTTCCACAAGGACCTAGGAGTGAAACCAAGGGAACAAGAGGGTCCCAAGGGGGGGATACCCCATGTGGCCAGCCACACCCCCATGAGGGGCCCAAAAAATGGCTCCTAACCATCCATGTCATCCCCAAGATCTTTTGGAGCAAAGCCCCAAAAGGTGGCTTTCCATAAAGTAACCATAAAGCTGATTTTCACTATTCACGACGACATTTTTCAGCGTCCGTTCGAACTGTTTATGTGGGCTTAGAACATTTCCAGTACCCACCAAAATGATTTTCAACGCGTTCCGAAACAATTCCGGTGTAGTGATTTTCATCTGCGAAAAGCATCTGAAGTGGTTCCGGCAGCTCCGGAGCATATCCGGTTATTATCCCGGAAAATTCTAGAAAGATTCCAGAATGATTCTGGCACCCTCCAAGAATTATCAGGCATGTGCCGAAACTAATTTGACTTAATGGTATCCCCTGAAACAACTTTTCAGTTTCATCGAAACTCATCCGATGACCTCTCTCTGCGGAACCTTTTCCGCTGTCCGAAACTTTTCCGGTGTCCGAAACTTTTTCGGTGATTTTCTCTCAGACTCCTTGTCTAGTATTCAGCAGATAGATGACCCTTAAGCGTGTGACCCTATAGGTGCGGTGAAGTATAGACATGACCCAGAACCCCTTCCGATCAATGATCAACATCGGAGCCGTGGACACCCATATTGACCCCTATACCCACACGAATAAATATTCGAGTGAACCTCCAGTTGCGGTGAGCTATTCCTGTTGCTTCGTGATATGTCACAAACACCCAAGGTGAGATTTGTTGCATCCCCGTTGATGAACCATTTGTCCACCGTGCAGTTACCTCGTTACCGGTTTTGTTCTCTTTTCTCGTTTCCGTGTTCCGGCATCCCGGTGATCAAATCACACTGTTTCTAGCCAGACGATGATGGATACCGTAACACCGAGAGGGCCCAGAGATATCTCTCCATCGTCGGAGGAGCAAATCCCAATCTTGAGCTATCAAGTTACTTGACACACTTTTCCATGAACTCGTAAGCCGCCGTAATAGCCACCCATTTACGGATGACGTTTAACAAACCCCAAAGTTCATGAAGCAAGCATGAAGAAACTTGATACTCTCATGGTCTAAGGAATCATGCAAACGTTAACCATCTCTGTGATATGCACCATTAACTTGTGACGAATGAATCTCTTAGCATGACATCAATCCGGGTCGATTCAACACAAATGTTCTCTTAACATTGTGCCCTCAAAATTGCTGGCATAGACATGCCCATGATCAGGAAAACAGAACCATCATGCAACACTTGAGCTAGTCTTAGAAGCAGACTAGGAATACTTCTTGCCATTTATTATTCCACACATGCATATGAGTCTTCCTCCGAGTCTCGTGGATATTGCAGACTCGAGAATCATTGCAGTTATAGCATGGAACATAAACATAATTATGAACTCGGAGATAAATAATATCATTTATTATTGCCTCTAGGGCATATCTCCTACATTTGACATGTTTCTGGAGATGGTTAGAGAGCGGCTTGGCAATC